GTATTTTTTATGCTTTCTGAATGCCTCCAGGTAGATGTGATCAGGTAATGGGCTTCCCTTTTCACTCTTTTTCCTGAGAAGTTTCAAGATACCACTGTTGGTCGTTTTGACCTAACTTAGGAGCAAGGGACCAATGAACAGATACCAAAAGAAAAGAATGTCCACACCTTTTTCTCTGCAGTTCTGCCAGGTGTCTGTGGCCACTCTGATCCTTCCCCCGCGTGGTCTCACCCAAGATGGCGGCTCCTGGAGCAGCCGAGCGTCCCAGACTAGAAAGCAATGGATTTCTTGCTTCTGCCACAAATTCCCCCAGCTGTGAGCCTTCCAATCTTCTAAATATTCCCTTATATGTGCTTCAGAGTTCTGGGACCAGCCCCTGAGCCTGCTTGGTCAGGTATTCTGTGTTGTTATTGGCGGGGCTCCTTTACTGCATTTCTACCCCATCCGCCATCTTGTTTGTTTTTCTCCTCATGAGGGTTTTGTGTAGACTAAGTGTAGTTAGTGACATGCCTGTACATTGTTAGCAATCATTCAGGTGGTAATGGATATGTGGGGAGTTCCATAGCAGTCCATAGAATAAGCACTGGACTGCAACCCAAAAGGTCAGCCCATCAGTCAATCCATGGGAGAAAGATGAGGCTTTCTACTCCTGCAAAGATTAGCAGCCTCGAAACCCTATACAGAATTGCTATGATTCGGAACCGACTTGACAGTACTTAACAGCAATGGGATATGTGAATTTATTTATTTTACTTATCAGAAGAAAGAGCTGGACAAGAAGTAGAAATTTGGAAATCACTGATAAATATACAGGAATGGTAATTGAAGCCTTCAATATAAGTGAAATTTATCAGGTAAGCAAACTGAAGAGAGTTGAGGAGAGCCACAAGGATCCTGAGAATTAGGAGGAGGTTAACAGGAAAGGAGTCAGAGAAGAAAGAGCAGAAGAAGCAGAGAAGAAAGGAAGCAGAAAGAGCAGATAGAAAGGTGGATGGTGTTGTTAAGTACCAATGCCTCAGTTCTACCTCTTAGCAACCCTATATAAGATTTCCAAGGAGCAGCTGGTGTGTTTGAATCACTAACCTTGTGGTTAGCATTCCATTGCTTCCCCTACTGAACCATACCAAGATACCTTGAAAGGTAAATGGTGTTAAGTGCCAACGATGCGGTTCCTACTCTTAGTGACCATGATAGGGTTTCCAAGGAACAAACAGCTGGTGGGTTTGAAGTGCCTACCTTGTAGTTCATAGTTCTGTGCTGATCCTATATCACCACACCAGGACCCTAGAAAGGTGAGTTGTTGTTGAAAGGTGAGTAGAGAACCAAAATAGAAGGGTATGGAGCAACCAGATAAGGAGAAAGGTACAGGAAAGATAGAAGGGTCAGGAATACTAAATACCAGAGAGATCCAGTAAGACAGGGCTTGAAAAATAGCTGGGGAATTTTCTTTTACCCTCCAGAAAGCTCTTAGTCAGCATTCAGAATAACTTCAGATGATGCATTTTATTCTTCAAAGTCCTAGCTTTGCCTTCCATCATATTGAGTACTGTGAGTAATCTGGAAAGGCTTTTAAATAAATTTAGGAGAGTATTTCTTGACAAGCATCTCTGGCCATTGGTTTTTATATAACTGCACATAAATTTCCAGTTACCATTTACTGAACCTTTCCAAGCACTGCTCCCAGGCTTAGTCTTTACAACCACCTTTTGAGGTAAGAATTATTGCTACCCCCATTCTAGAAATAAGGAAACTAAGATTCAAAAGGTTAGGAGTGAATTTGAAAAGATTACACATCTAGAAAGTAGCTGAGCTGGGACTTGAACCATGTTTGTTTGAATTCACAGACAATGCTTATAACCACCATCCTGTCCTTACATATGCCATTGAATATTTTTGGGACTTAGTTTCCTTATCTAGAAAATGGGGATAATTACTAGCCCTATCCAGCCCTACTGGATTACTGTGAAATGAAAGTAGTGACAATGTTCTGTGCCAATGAATATGTGTTGGTGCGTAAGAGTTTTCATTCTGGCGAATTTCATGAGGAAGGGAAGTGTCACGCTATTAGATTTGGCCAATGCTCAAGCCTACTGAACACATCTTCCCTTTGGCAGGTACACCTTGACCCCTCCTGGAGACAGCCCTTGTGCTAGGGTTGGCCACAGCTGCTCATATTTACCCCCAATCGGTGATGCCCACAAAGGGAAGATCTTCATTATTGGGGGAGCAGATCCAAACAGGAGCTTCTCAGATGTGCACACCCTGGATCTGGGTAAGATTGGGAGTCATGAAGCTTGTACCCTGTGGCCAACGAGAAGCCCACCATAACTAAAGCAGTCCCAAGAACATCAGTTCAGACCAGACAGTAGGGGTTTTTGCTTAAAAAATAAACATCACTGACAGGCTCCTAAGGTTTCAGTTGACCTCTTGGTGTATACCCACCTCACTAATACCTTCTGCATTTGAGGGAAAGAGCCTGTGTATGGAGCCCTGATCATCTAACCATTTGTTCAACAAATATTTCTCTTGGAGACATTGATGACATCCCCCTTCTCCTTCATCCATACACAAAATCACCAAGTCTCCAAATGTCTATTGTCCTCATCCTGTCTCTATATTTCTACTACTACTGCCATAGGCTAAGTCACCGTTATCTCTCAAGTAGACTAATAGCTTCCTCACTGGTGTCCATGCTTCCATGTTTACCTCCAATACAGTCACTTTTCCATACTTAGTTAGAAAATACTGCCTAAAATCCAGGTCTACTCCCTTGTCTGAAACCTTCTCCAGCTTCATTACTTGGTTCTTCCCAACTTTCACTTGTTACACTGAGTATCCATCCGTTCCTTGGACACACTTTGAACTATCTGGCCTTCAAGATACTGTATGCCTTTGCATACTGTTCATCTTATCATCTGTATACTGTTCAGCTTTCATATCCCAGATTAGTTGTCATTTTCACAAGGAAGTTTTCCCTGATGCTCCTGGAGTAATTTAGACACCCTGCTGTGTTTTTCCATAGTACCCTGTGCTTTCTCACATGATTGTTTCATATCTGTCTTCTCCACAAGAGTATAAACTCCTGGAAAATAGGGGACTGTGGTTATTTTCCTTATGATATCCCTTGTACTACTACAACACCTGAGGGCAGAAGTTCAAAACTGATGTTCCACATGCAGGTTTTGTTAGAGCCACCCATATAATTGTGTTAATGTTTTCATCTAACTTGTTTGCCAACTAAATGTGCAGAAGGCTTCAATAGAAGTATTGAAATGATTTGGCATCTCTTAATGACTTTGTGAGATCTGACATGGCAACAGTGATTTGGAGCTGAGTAGCAGCTGCCATCTATCAGTGGGACTGTCATTCTTCAGTTTGCCACACTTACCACCATTCTTCAAAAAAATCATTGTCTAGTTTGGTTACATCTTTATTGTCATCAATTACAATAAAGCTCTGTGACCCTGGACAAATGAACCATCTGACCCTCAGTGTCCTATAAGATGGGGATACTAACTTGTTTCAGTTGGCAGTTGTAATGATCTAACAAAATAATGCCTGTGAAAGTCCTGTGTAAATGCCTTGCTGAATTAAATAACTAATGGGTCAAGTATTGATATGATTCTGTGAACCTCTTTTAGCCAGAGATCATTTAGTTGCAGGTAATACAAACCAAATTAAACCAACAAAAAAGGGAGCTATAAGAGTGTTTCACAGAATCTAAGAGCAAGAAGTATATAGCCCAGTCTTATGAGAGAGTGAAGCAGATATGGAAAACTATCAAAAGTCATGTCTCCTCCCTCTTTCTCTCAAGGGTGGTCCTGTTTCTTTAAACAGATCTGTTTTATTCTTCTCCATCTCATATTTTGACTTTCTCTGCTTCTCCACACTTCTCCAACTCCAGAAATCTGCTTGAATTCCAAATTATTGAGAGGTAGGACCTGATTGGCCTAGCTTAGCCACCTCTGACCCAATCAGTTAGACTAGAAGATCAATGTGTTGTGTAGTTCAAACATATCTTCTGGGATTTGTCCTGTGGTTAGAGAATGGGACAGCTTTCATTGAAAATAGTTGATGGCTAAATGGTTAGGCAGAGATCCACCTAAGTGGAACTTTTTATAGGTTTATTACATTCTCTTTCAGTAATTCGATGGTTGTTAATGTATACTTTTGACCCTCTCCTCATTACCTTCCCCAAGTTTGTCAATCAATATAAGCAGCCCCAATCGAGGTATTTAAAATGTCTTCTAGGTACACACCAGTGGGATTTAGACACCTGGGAGGGCCTCTTGCCCCGGTATGAGCATGCCAGCTTCATTCCCTCCTGCACACCTGACAGCATCTGGGTGTTTGGAGGTGCCGACCAGTCAGGAAATCGAAATTGTCTACAAGTACTGAATCCTGGTAAATAACTAAAGTTATTTTATCTACCTAAATAAATAAATAATTCCAATTCCAATTTATATACCAAAACTTATGTAGATTGTACTGATTATTAACTTTGCTAGCTTCACAGAAAATATATATTGTAGCTTCTACCAGAAACTAAAAAGAACAGAATTTTAACCAGGGACTAGTCGCTGGAGAAGGATATCATGTTTGGTAAGGTGGAGGGTCAGAGAAAAAGATGAAGACCCCCAACGAGATGGATTGGCCAAGTGGCAGCATTGATGGGCTCAAGCGTGACAACAGTAGTGAGGTTGGCCCAGGATTGGACAGTGTTTCATTCTGCTGTTCATAGGGTCGCTATGGGTTGGTACCAAATCAATGGCACCTAACAACAACAACAACAACTGGTAACATGTACACTTATCAATTCCTTAAGCGCCAAAGCTGAAAGTTATTCTTCTTCATGAAGTCGCTCATACCTCTTAGGCTTTCTTCAGAATTTTGTATTCTTTTTTCTGATTATTCTTCTAGCATACTAGTATTGAGAGATTTATCTCAAGCTCACTGATTCTAGTTTCCATTGCTTCGAATCCACTCCTTGGCCTTTTCAATGTATTATTCATTTCTGAAATCTTATTATTAATCTTCTAGATTTCTAATTACAGGTTTTGTGTCATTTAAAAATTTGCATTTATTTAGTCTGTTTGTTGTTGTAGTCTTTTCCTGAATTCTTCTAAAGTTCTTTCTGTGTTCTCCTTGCTTTCCTTGATCTCTCAGCCCTTTGAAGGTACCTAAGTATCATTCTTTTGAATTCTTTTTTAGTTATTGCCATTATGTTTTCTTCCTCAGAAAGGTTTTCTGGCTCTTCATCTTGATCTTGTTTTAGTGAATCTATCAGAGGTATTTTTAGGCTCTCACTAACTGTCTCTTGTGGGTGTACTTAGAGAATGGAAATGTGTGCAAAAATTTCTGTTTGCCGTTTGTGCTGTCTATCACAAAAAAACCAGTTTAGGGTGGGTTTTGCAGATGTTTGCTGCTGTCTATCATTGATCAGATGGCACAGGAACTGGTATTGGTTCTTGCCCAGTGGGTGGGACTGCAAAGGGTATGGTTGTGACTGAGCTGTATGGGCACAGGTGATGTTTCCTTTTGAGTGAGAAAGAGGAAAAACCTCTCTGCCCTGCCACTCCTCCCCCTTCACCCCCACACAAGAAAACAACAAATAAGCAAGCAATCAACCAACAATGACGAGAAAAAATAATAAAGGAGAAAAAATAAGTAAAGACAGGCAGCAACCAGAAAAAGAGAATATAATAACTAAATGAGAAAAGAGGGATAGGAAAATGGAGCTATAGAGAAAAAAAAGAGAGAGAAGATAAAAGGAAGAAATTAAAAAAAAAAAAAACAACAGAAAAATAAGGGAGAGGGATGAAAAGATAAAGAGAGTAGTAGCAGTTAGTTATTAGGTGTCATCACATCCGTACCGACTTATGCACAACAGAATGAAACACTTCCCAGTCCTGGGCCAACCTCACAATCGCTGCTAGGCCTGAGCCCATTGCTGCCGCCACTGTGCCAATCCATCTCATTGGGGGTCTTCCTCTTTTTCTCTAACCCTCCACTGTACCAAACATGATATCCTTCTCTAGTGGTTGGTTCCTCCTGATAATATGTCTGAAGTATGAGAGATGAAGTTTTGCCATCCTGGCTTCAAGGAGCATGGCTTCTTCCAACACAGACCTGTTTGTTCTTTTGGCAGTCCATGGTACTTTTAATATTCTCCTCCAACACCATAACTCACAATGCATCAATTTTTCTACGGTTTCCCTTATTCACTGTCCAACTTCCACATGCATATGAGGTTATTGAAAATACCATGGCTTGGGTCAGGTGTACCTTAGTCCTCAAACGTTTGACATCTTTACTTTTCAACACTTTAAAGAGGTCTTGTGACCAAATCTAGCAGATTTGCCTAATGCAATATGTCATTTGATATCTTAACTGCTGCTTCCCTGAGTGTTGATGGTTGATCCGAGCAAAATGAAATCTTTGATAACTTCAATCTTTTCTCCATTTATATGGATGTTGTTTATTGGTCCAGTGGTGAGGATTTTTTGTTTTCTTTACATTGAGATGCAACCCATATGGAAGGCTTTGATCTTCATCAGTAAGTATTTTAGTCCTTTACACTTTCAGCAAGCAAGGTTGTATCTATCATCTGCATATTGCAAGATGTTAATGAATCTCCCACCAATCATGATGCCACATTTTTCCTCATATAATCCAGTTTCTTGGATTACTTGCTTAACATTTAAAATTGAAAGGGCAAGATTTACCTAAGAACAAAGTTGAGAAGAGATGGAAAAATGGTTGGAATATAAATAGGAAACACAGGGAGAGTGCTGTTGCGTGGAGGAGATTGTAATCAATGAGATGATACAAAGTGTATGATTTATTGAACATAAAACTGATCATCCTGTCTGTAACCCTTCACTCAATTCACAAAAAGTTAAAAAGAAATGAAATAATTCAAACCCCTACTCTGCTATTCGCATCACTGTGACCCAAAAGAAAGGATTTAAATGTTCTGATTTTGTTCCCTCATTTGCAAAATGGAAATACTCTTCCATCAACTCCCAGGGCTAAGTGAGGATAGTGAGGATGAAAGAATTCTCAGGTATAAGGAAGGTAATACACTTGTTTCTGTAGAATTCATGCTTCATTTAAAAAAATTTTTTAATTGTGGTGAAAATATACGTAATAAAAATATGCCATATCAGCAATTCATGTTTCATTCTTAAAAGAAAGTATCTTCTTACTGCCTATCCATGTGTTGCAATCTTATTCTCAGTTCAGATGAGAAAGAAATAGAGATCTTGCTGATATCAAAATAGTATTTGAAACCCACCTCAACTGTTTACTTATAGAAGTTACATCCTCTGTTGTTGCATCAATTTCCTTATCTGTAAAATGGGGAAAATAATTTTTATTTTGCACTTACTGCTGAGTAGAGACCATGGGTGGTGGTGTTAAGTGCTGTTGAATTGATTCCGACCCATAGCGACCTTGTATATGGTTTCCAAGGAGCGACTGGTGAGCTTGAACCGCCGACTTTGTGATTCAAACGACTTTGCAGTCTGGCACATTAACTCACAGCGCCACACTGCTATAACATTGCCTCCAAATATCCAGAGGCAAATATCTCTGGCTTCTAGAGGGAATTAAATTTTTTTAGGAGATATATTGAGTTCTTCAGGATGGGACTGGGGGGCAGGGTTGTCAGCAAAGTAGAAAAGGGTTTAGAAAGAGTGTTTGAAGGCCTCTGAAATAAAATTCACTGTATTCTTAATTATACCTGTGGCTTTTCATTCTGAGGATTTTGGTTGTATGGAAAAATTCTAAGGATTGCCTTCCCCCTCCTAGTGAAGATCTGTAGGTCTCTGCCTAAAATTATGCTGGCCCACTTGGGGATTAGGATTTGGCCCCAGTATCAAGGTGAGAGCCCCCTGAACCTGGATATTTTACATGTATACCTTCTTTCTGAATCAGAAACCAGAATCTGGACCAAACCAGAGGTGACCAGCCCTCCACCATCCCCAAGAACTTTCCACTCATCAGCAGCAGCCATCGGAAACCAGCTCTATGTCTTTGGAGGTGGAGAGAGAGGTGCTCAACCTGTGCAGGATGTGAAGCTACATGTGTTTGATGCAAGTATGGATGGGTGGGCACCTTGTGGTTGCCATAGAATGTGATCAGGGCCACCCAACCTGTGGTTTACCTGATGTGGGAAGCAGAGGTTAGAAAAAAAAACCTTGATTGAGAGAATGTCTTATTTCTAGAATTTTATGGTATATCTGTTGGTCGATATCTTCCCACACACAGAGTAAAATTTACATTTAGGAATGACCAATTTTTAAAAACATTTTAACAGTAAAGTTTATAAAGTAAAAAAGTAAACATTTTCCTTTTCTCCTTTCTTTGCACTCCCTAGACAGAACTAAACACTTGTTAAGTGCCTTCAAATCTGTTCTGACTCATAGTGACCCTGTATAGGGTTTCCAAGGAACAGCTGGTGAGTTTGAACTGCTGATCTTGAGGTCAAGTGCTTACCCTGTGGCACCACAGGACTCCTCAACAATGTTAGCAGTTCCTAATATCTACTTCCAGACTTTCCAATGTATTTATTTATAAATCGCACATACATATAGACATACAGGGTATTATAGATACTACTTTATCGATTATAGATGTTAGTAGCTGAAAGCATGAATTTTGAAGTCACATGATCTGGACTCAGGACCAGATATGTTTCAGGCCTTTTGTGTAGGATTGGACTAGTTTTGTAATCTCTCTCGGCCTTCATTTGCTGTTCTGTAGAATCAGGATAATAGTTGTAAAGATTAAATGTGATAATATGTTATATTGTGTAGTACATAGGAAGCATTATTGCTATTATTATGTTTATGTTACTTAATCATGTATTATGGATGTCTAAGTCAGTTTCAATTTCCGTACAGTATCAGTTCCCGTATCCTTCTGTTGTTGTTAAGTGCCTTTGAGTTGGTTCTGACTTGTAGTAACCCTGTATAGGGTTTTTGAAGAGCGACTGGTAGGTGTAAACTGCTGACCTTGTGGTTAGCAGTCCAGTGGTGATCCTACAGCACCACATCAGGATTCCATATTCTTCGTTGTGGTAGTGGTGGTGGTGTGTCATCATGTCAGTTCTGATTCATCGTGACCTTGTGCAGGGCTACTGAGGCTGTAAATCTTTACAGGAGCAGAAAGCCTCATCTTTCTCCTGTGGAGTGGCTTGTAGATTTGAACTGCTAACCTTCCCATGTGTAACCATTATGCTAGCAGAGCTCCATATAATCCTTATATTGTTGTTAACAGTGCCGTTGAGTCAGTTTCGACTCATAGCGACCCTGTATAGGAGCAGCTGGTAGGTTTGAACTGCTGACCTTGTCATTCACAGTCCAGTGCTGATACTACAGCATCACTCCAGGAACCCGTATCCTTATATTTGTTGTTGTTGTTAAGTGCTGTCCAGTCAGTTAGTATAGGTATGCCTTATTCATTCACTCATTTTCCTATTGATTGATTTTTGGCTGACTGTGTTGCAGTGAACATCTATATACCTTTACTTTTGTACACATGCTACACTTAAATGGAATAGATGCTGAGAAGTTAATTATTGGGTCAAAATGGTATTAACATTTAAAACTGAATGCATGCTAAATTGATGTCTAGGAGCATTTATTTATATTTCTTTCTCTGACTAGTGGGCATCTATAAATATCATTTCACAGAAAGCATGTGATAAAAATGCTTTTCATTTGTATTCTATAGTAAAATGCACTCTGTCTTGAGGAAATGCATTAAACAAAATTTTATATTTACAAAGTAAAATTAGAAGAATTAAGACTCTTCACAGTCTGTCTATTTCCTTTCTAGAAAGAATGACTTTAATATTAGTTTTGAATATATTAAACTCTAAGGAAGAAGTAAATAAATATGTATTTGTGTGTATATTTTTTAAAATGTTACACATATACATATATACAAGGGAGCATGATGGCTCCATAGGATAAGCAGTGGACTGAGAACCACAAGGTCAGTGGTTCAAGCCCACCAGCTGCTCCATGGGAGAAAGATGATGCTTTCTGCTCCTGCAAAAATTTACAAGCTTAGAAACCCTATACAGGGTTGCTATGAGTCAGAACCAACTCAGCAGCACTTAACAACAAGTATATTCAAGGGGGTTTCCAAAGTTAGTGGAGAAATTCCATTATGTTTTAATTCAAATTTTCTATGAACTTTTGAAGCCTCCTTGTATATACTTGTATATGTAAAATGTTGTTGTTAGTGTCATTCAATCAGTTCTTACTCACAATGACCCTATATAGAGTTTCCAAAGCTGTAAATGTTTGTGGGAGCAGAAAACTTCATCTTTTTCCCATGGAGTGACAAACTTGTGGTCAACAGTCCAGTGCTTATCCTACATTGCACCATAGATAGTACCATGCATAATATTTATCTCATTTAATCTATTCCTCAATCCTTAGCAGTAGGCATTTTCAGGTATTGTTGTATCCCCATTTTATAGTTGTAGAAAATAAAATTTAGAGAAAAACTTGCTCAAGACCACATAATTATTTAGTGAGAGAACTGGGTTTCCAACTGCAAAGCCCATTTTAACCATTGTCTAATTCTGCCATACTAATGGCACTCTTGTTGACTTTTATTTCATAGTAACTTATTTTTTTCCTCATTCTTTGAACAAAGCAATTAAAGATACTACCTTTTTAAAAAGAAGGCTTGACCAAGCCTGTTACGGAGGAAGCCCATTCATGATTTTAAACTCTGAGTAAGTTCTAGGTTAGAGCTAAAGGAAAGTCTTTCGTCATTCAAAGCAAATAATGGCTTCCTAATGTCCAATCCTAGTGTGGCATTGTGGGTTAATGTGCCAAATTGCAGAGCTGTTTGAACTGCAAGGTCAGCAGTTCAAGCTCACCAGCTGCTCCTCAGAAACCCTATATAGGATTGCTATGGGTCAGAACCAACTCAATGGCACTTAATAACAACAACAGCAATGTCCAGTCCTGGTGTGGCACTGTAGGCTAAGCACTTGACTGCTAATCATGAGATTGACAGTTTAAAACCACCAGCTACTTCTCGGAAACCTTATACAGGGTCGCTATGAGTTGGAACCAACTCGAAGGCACTTAACAACAATGCCCTGTAGCAGAGGCAGCCTGTGAATAAGGTCTCCAACCCTGGAAGTATCTCAGAAGAGGCTGTCCTGGCCATAGAGGTTGTAGAGGGAAGTCTGGATTGAGCTGGTGAGTTTCTGTGAGTGTCCTCAAGGTCCCTTCCTCCTTGGATCATCTCTGCTTACTGGGTAGTTGTAAAGAAGCTTGAGTGTATGCTTATGTTCTTGCTTTATGGCTTTGCTCTCTGATACTGATGAATTTACTTTTCTAGACACTCTGACCTGGTCACAGCCAGAGACACTTGGAAAACCCCCATTGCCCCGGCATGGTCATGTGATGGTGGCAGCAGGGACAAAGCTCTTCATCCATGGAGGCTTAGCAGGGGACAGATTTTATGATGATCTCCATTGCATTGATATAAGTAAGTAAGATAGAGATTTATCAGCTTAAAATTAAATAGAATATGTTCTGATAGAATATAGCCATACTAGTAGGTCTTCACTGGATTCTGTTAAGTATGACTGTGGTGTGAATAATAATAGCAGTAAATACAAACATTTCCTGAGCACTTTCTGTGTATCCAACCAACATTTTTGTTCTTCCCAACATCCTGCTATTTCGTTCATATCCATTTTGCTTTGTATTCTCCAAGTGCATTTCCTTTAGGCACTAGCTGTGAAGAACATTGGTTAACTAATAGTGTGTTTGAGATTGGTGACTAGAACTACATGCTAAACTTGGTTGAAAATACTAGAAGAGGATTAAAGAGAACATGAGAATTGTCACTGAAGTGTTGATGTGCCCTATAGGGCCTGAACTCTATCTTGGTCATTTCTTCAGACCACACTCCATTAAGATAGGATTTTGTCTTTTTTATTTCTCTAATACTTAGCACAGTGTCTGTCAGATAGTGGATAAAAGTATATCTCTAATACTTCGCACAGTGTCTGTCAGATAGTAGATAAAAGAATGGGGAGATGCTGTGCAGGAGTCCTGGTATGGTGCTTTGGGTTAATGCGCTGAACTGCAAAGTCAGTTTGAACCACAAGGTCGGTGGTTCAAGCTCACCAACTGCTCCTTGGAAACTCTATACAGGGTCGCTGTGGGTTGGAACCTATGCGACAGTACTTAACAACATACCCACATTATACTCACGTTGACTACATTGCCAAGCAGTGGCTTTCTGGCTTAGTGGCATCTGATGCTAGGTGATGCGGACTGAGATTCCTGCATTGGTTAGAATTTTGCTGTATTGGGTGGTCCCTTGTATCTCTGGGATTCTGGCCTCCTGCCTTACACATAGATATCGAAGCTATCTTCACTGAAACATTTTGGCAGGCAGGCAGGCAGGCAGGCTGGCTTTTTTTTTTTTTCCCAATAATTAATTCAATTAACAATAAATGGATTTATAATTTTTATTTTTAGAAAGTAAAGTTCTGTTGCAGACTGTGTAGGCCTGGTCAGAGGTTTGAGGCCCTCTAGGCCTGAGTGTAACAGATCTAGCCACTTGGCAGTCAATAACAAATTGTTTTTCATCTTAGTATTCAGTTATGTTATAATTAAATGCAGACATGAGCCCTTAATGTCCACAGATAAATGTGATATTTTCCTAAAGCTGAGACTAAAGGTTTCAAAGGTCAAGCCTTTCTCCAAAGGATTAACTAAAAATATCTTAGCTACTTCACAGTTCTTTGTTCTACAGACAAAAAAGCCATCCTCCCTGAATCTCTCCCAAGTGTTAGCTTTTCAGCCAAGTTCCTGAAAACCTGGCTTAGGAAGCCGAAACAGCAGGACTCCGCCCAAGCTTTTGTCCTTACCCCTCACCTTCCCCCAACTGAGCTCAGGGGCTATAGATATGTTAATTGAGCCTGAGAAACCAAGTTGCTGGCCTGGGATTCGAACCAGTGAAGTATGATGTAAAGTTACCTGAATGTATGGAAAAGTACTGATGTTAGCTGTATCCTGTTTTAGTTCCTCCCAGCTTGGTGTGAAGCTCCTCCCCTAAATAAAACAGCGGTCCAGGCCTCCCCAGGTGTGCATTATAGGTTGGAGAGCATGCAGTAAAGATTGCAGGGCAGTGAGTTGCTGCCTGCAGAGGCCACGATGCCTGTACTCCCAAGTCTGCCCACCAGTGATACATCCACCCTGGTTTCTGGGTGCCTCCTTGTCCCCCTCTTTCTGTCTGTCTGTGTATTCTTTTGCTATCTCTATCTTTGCCAGGTATCTCCTCCTCGTGAACTGAACCCCTATGTTGAGGCCAGTCCCGACAAAGTTCTATATGGAGGAACTACTTCCTAGCTATTGTTATTGCTCAGCAAAGTAATTCTCTAAACCAAAAATCCAGTGATGCCCTGCCTCATGTAAACACTTGTTTGAAAAGATGTAAATTTCTCTGCAAAAATAGGTTGGGAATAATGGCTGAGGCAGCAGTTACAAGTATAGAGAATAGGCTTTGTGGTCTGATTTTGGTACAATTCTAGCTCTGCCATATACCAGCTGTGGGACTTCAGGGCAAGTCTCTCTGCCTCTCGCATCCTCAGTTTCCTTGTAAGAGGAAAGCAGATAAGTAGAAATAGCAATTTCATAGGACTTTTGTGAAAATTAAGTAAGGGTATTTCACTTTGTGTAGCCTGAACACCACCAAGTTGCTTTCTAAGAAACTTTTCATATTTAAAGCATGTGTGTACATGTGCATGCACACACAGAACCATACCTGCTTCTGGGTTCCAGAACAGTCAGTGGTGATGGTCACCAAAGGTTTTATCACATTTTCAGAATCACCTGGAATGCATGTTAGAATTATGAGGAAGCTTCAAGTTCATAGCAAATGTGCATGAACCTTCTAATTCCACTTTCCTACAAATTTTTGAAGTCCCCTTGTAGATGTACTGAGCCCCTCCCTCCCTGAATTACTAATTAGAATCTCAAGCTTCCCCAAGAAATTCCATTGCACACTAAACCTTTACTATATTACTTCTCAGAGCTCTTAGTAAACAGTCTTCAATGTTTTGTTTGCAATCTGCAGGAATCCCATAGAGTTAAGTTTGAAACCACATTTTAGCCCATGTTGTGCCAAAACAAGTCTCTCTCTACAGGTGACATGAAATGGCAGAAGCTAAGTCCCACTGGGGCTGTTCCCACAGGCTGTGCTGCCCATTCAGCTGTGGCTGTGGGCAAGCATGTGTATGTTTTTGGAGGAATGGCTGCCACAGGAGCACTGGACACAATGTACCAGTATCACATAGGTGAGTGTCACCTGGAATTTTTAACAAATGTAGTCACTCAGATTAGAAAAGTGATATACACAGCAATTTGGTTGTTCAAACTGGTCCCTCCACATCTGAATCCAAAGATGTAAGTGAATTTAAAGGGAATTGTACCATGAAAGCAGTAATACTCATTTTTATTTCCTTGTCTCCTATTTGTTATGCTTGGCTGTTGAGGAGTAAATAACCGAGCATTTCTAGAAATTTAATACGAAGACTTTGTTTTTTATTCTCCTCCCAACATAGAAAAGCAACACTGGACCTTGCTTAAATTTGATACTTTTTTACCCCCTGGACGATTGGATCATTCTATGTGTATCATTCCATGGCCAGTAGTATCTACTTCTGAGAAAGAAGATTCAAATTCTGTCCCTCTAAACTTTGAAGCTGAGAAAAAAGATTTCACTGACAAAGGAATAAGCCAAGATGGTAACTCACAGGAAAGTCAGACTGATATACTGCTCTGTTTTGTGTTTGGTGGCATGAATACAGAAGGAGAAATATATGATGATTGTATTGTGACTGTAGTTGACTAATAAAACACATTTTATTACTTTTAAGTATCAATTACTTTCAGGTAAATGACACCTATTTTTTACCTACTTTGGTAGGTGAAGAAATGGATAGACCAGTGAAAACATATCCTTATAGTTTTACCAACACAACCTAGGTGTAATTCATTAATCACCAGAAAGTTGCAGAATCCCATTACTAGATACAGTATAAGCTGGGGAAATCAGGAGTGGACATACCTCAGAAAGAAATGTATAGTACAAGGTTGAGTCCTTTGACACAGGGTTGAAGGCTGGCTTTTGTTTTTGCACATGGTTTTGCAGGTCAATTTTAAGTTGTATTGTTTGGCCAGACCTTAATGTTCTAAGCTCCAGGTTTCCAAATAAGCCTGGTATTGGGTCCCAATTTATCATCTTTATCAAAATCATTCATCTCTGAAATAATACCTAGACACAGGCAATATTAGATTTCATGCTCCCAACAACCTGCCCTCGATAGTTACCACCTTTTTCTCCTAGGAAGCCAATCCCAGTAATCCTAACCCTGTTTTTATAGAAACCACTGCCTTTAATCCAAAATTATATTGGGAGTTCCTGTACTTTCAAATTCCTGGTTTCCACCCCAGTACCAATAATGAAATTTCAGGGATAGCTTGAGTTGAAAACATTTAAGGGGGCTTCAAAAAGCATTTGGAAAAAAATACCAGTATGTTTTACTTCCATTTTCCCAAATACTTTTTGAAGCTACTCTATCCATCCTAAAATTATAAATCCCAGTATATAAAAGGAGCCCTGATGGCACTGTGGGTTAGGTGTTCAAACTCAAGGTCAGCAGTTCAACCTCTCATTCACTCTGTGTGAAAGATGAGACTGCCTACTCCTAGAAAGGTTTAGTCTAGGAAATGACTCAATGGCTGTGGGTGTTTTTTTTTTAAAGCTAACAGTAATCAAGTCACTCTATCAATTTTTAAAGAAATTCGAGCAGCTATATCATATAAAAGGCCACTAATTTTATCCCTATTATGCAGGGTTGCTATGGGTCAGAACTGATTCAAAAGGCACTTAGCAATTTAAGCTTAAAATACTTTGGGGCAATGAAATGGTCCTTGCCTAAAAAGAATGTTGATGAACCACCTTCTCCCCTCAGATTAATGTCTGGCAGATTTTCTGGAAGTACCAACTAAAAATGTTTCCTTATCCCATTCTCCAAATGTCCCCAGAATCTTAACTCCTTCCTGCACGCGTTCACACACACACAATATATATATATATATATATATATATATATATGTAACCTTTTTTTATTACCTTCCTCAAATCAGTAATTGATCTAATTTAGAAGCTTTTAACAAAAAATAGACCAGTGTAAATAACAAACATTTATTGGTGTCACTTACGGTAGAAAAAAGTTCCTACACCAGATGCACATGACCCAATTGTTAAATAGACCATTTCCAAGGTGAGCACACTCCCAACCCATTGTTTTTACCCAGTGTTTTAAGATTGCCAATTCTCCTTTCCCCCCACCCCAAGACGTGTGAGCAACTGCTAATGAAAAGCAGTAAACAGCCACTTAGGCTATAGCATTTTCAACTCCACTCAGAGGTGAAGTTTCCAATTACATTCGAAACTTAAGTTCTCTCAATTTTCTCTTAACAAAAGTTCCTGAGTCCAGTATTTACAATATTACAGCACTAGCAGAGCAGTGTCTACAATTCATCTTTCTCTGCTGTTTCATCTTCACCAGTTGGAGGAGGACCTGCACTTCCATAAAGTTTGCTGATAATTGGCTGAACAATTTCTTCTAGTTCCTTCTTTTTCGCTTTGAAGTCTTCAATGTCAGCATCTTGGTGACTTTCTAGCCATTCAATCTTTTCTTCGACAGCTTTTTCCATGGTTTCCTTATCTTCAGAGGAAAGTTTACCCCCCAGCTTTTCTTTATCGCCAATCTGATTCTTGAGCGAATAGGCATAACTTTCCAATTCATTTCTCGTGTCAATTCGCTCCTTAAGCCTTTTGTCTTCCTCAGCAAACTTCTCAGCATCATTAACCATCCTTTCAATTTCTTCAGGTGTCAGACGATTTTGGTCATTGGTAATTGTGATCTTATTTTTGTTCCCTGTACCCTTGTCTTCAGCTGTCACTCGAAGAATGCCATTCACATCTATCTCAAAGGTGACTTCAATCTGTGGGACCCCACGGGGAGCAGGTGGAATTCCAGTAAGATCAAATGTACCCAGAAGATGATTGTCTTTTGTCAGGGGTCGTTCACCTAGAAGTTACAAAACCTTGTTATTGACAAATCTTAGATCTGAATCTCTATAGTCTGTAGAGGCAATGGCTTTTTATCAAGCTAGGAGTGACTTGGTCTTATTAGTATATAAGCAGCAGGAATCAGGAACAACTGAATTTCACAGCATTCTCATTCTGATATTCTATGAGCCTGGTCAGAAGTTAATTTTAAGGGAAAGATACTTGTGCTAACTACAACACCCCACCACTAATCAAAATAAGGACCCTAACCTAAAATTAGCAGATTTGCTAGTTCATTACAGTAAAGAAATCATGTTCTCTCATGCATACCACAGTATTAAATGTAAGCAATTACCTTCATAGACTTTGATCGTAACAGTTGGTTGATTATCTGAAGCTGTAGAAAAGATCTGAGACTTCTTGGTGGGCACTACAGTGTTTCTTGGAATCAGTTTGGTCATGACACCACCCACAGTTTCAATACCAAGTGTAAGGGGACACACATCAAGCAGCACCAGATCACCTGCAAAGACAAGTTCACCAGATAAACTTTTAGGCACTACCAAGCAACCTCCTCATGAACTGTATAAAGCTTACTTTCTCCTTGTACATGACACACAGTTGCTAAGGCCTCCCAAAACTGCCACAGGTCTTTACTAGCTGTATGACCTTGGACAAGTTGCTCATATTCTATTTTTACTGAAGCATTATGGAAGATGTGACATTGACCTACCTGTATCTTGATCACCAGAGAGTACTCCTGCCTGGACAGCAGCACCATAAGCTACAGCCTCATCTGGGTTAATGCCACGGGATGGCTCCTTGCCATTGAAGAACTCTTTAACCAGCTGTTGAATCTTTGGGATTCGAGTAGAACCACCAACAAGAACAATTTCATCAATATCAGATTTCTTCAAATCAGAATCCTCCAACACTTTCTGAACAGGCTTCATAGTGGAACGAAACAGATCCTACATAAAGAGAGACATGGTTAGCATGATACCTAGATTCAATGTCCTAAAATTCAGATCACGTAATTTTCATCAGCAAAATAAAAGAAACATACCATGTTAAGTTCTTCAAATTTGGCCCGAGTTAGGGTTTCAGAAAAGTCTTCTCCTTCATAAAATGACTCAATTTCAATTCTTGCCTGATGTTGCGCAGACAGGGCCCGTTTGGCCTTTTCTACCTCACGTCTGAGTTTCTGTACAGCTCTGTTGTCTTTCCTCACATCTTTGCCAGTCTTCTTCTTATACAGCTTGATGAAGTGTTCCATGACACGTTGATCAAAGTCTTCCCCACCCAGATGAGTATCTCCATTAGTGGCCACGACTTCAAAGACACCATTGTCAATGGTGAGAAGAGACACATCGAAGGTTCCACCACCCAGGTCAAACACCAGGATGTTCTTCTCACCCTCCCTCTTATCCAGGCCATAAGCAATAGCCGCTGCTGTACTGTTAGGAGGGTGAAAGGGGGGAAAAATGCTTAGTCAAGTTTACATTCCCTCTATTTGTTAAATATGCCATACCCTTGAATTCAATACTTACGGCTCATTGATGATTCTCATAACATTCAGTCCAGCAATAGTCCCAGCATCTTTGGTTGCTTGGCGCTGGGCATCATTGAAATAGGCTGGTACAGTAACAACTGCATGGGTAACCTAACAGAATAAAAAAGTTCATTAAGTGTATTTTGTCACATAATGATTTAACTTTTATTTAAATGACAATACATGAAAAACATCTAGAACTTAAACTTGATGTCATTTATAAAGTATTAAAATCATGAAAGCATCTATACATAATAGTCAACAGTAATATTTACCTTCTTTCCCAAATATGCCTCAGCAGTTTCTTTCATTTTAGTGAGAACCATGGCAGAAATTTCCTCAGGAGCGAATGTCTTTGTTTGCCCACCTCCAATGTCTACTTGAATGTATGGCTTAGTTTTCTTTTCAACCACCTATTTTAAAAACGAATAATTTTAAGATACACAGTAAATGACATTTTGAACTCTGACAAAAAGAAGATTGTCTGAAATTCATTTTCTTCCCCCAAGTTTATTTTGATTTCTTGAAGCTAAATGTTGACCAGGCCTATTGAGGGAATTTAGGTGCTATAGAAAGACAAACCTCTTCTGTTTTAACCAATGTCTAAATCCTAAACGTTGTAGACATGGTTTTATATTTCTTTTTGTTCCTCTGGCTATTGTTGCACAGTTTGTAACACACTACAATAAAACTTTCAACAATAAAGAATGCTACTGACAAAAACCCTTTGAAACTAGGATAGACCATTTTTATGTCCCTTTTTGCTGTCCCCAAACACTGTTTTTCAATTATTCACCACCCATCCTCTAGTAAGAAAAACCTGGTCACACCTTGAACGGCAAGAACTTGATGTCCTGCTGCACAGACGGGTCATTCCAAGTGCGGCCAATGAGCCGCTTGGCATCGAAGACCGTGTTCTCAGGGTTAGAGGTGAGCTGGTTCTTGGCTGCATCGCCGATCAGACGCTCCCCTTCAGGAGTGAAGGCCACGTAAGACGGCGTGATGCGGTTGCCCTGATCATTGGCGATGATCTCCACGCGGCCGTTCTTGAACACCCCGACGCTGGCAGAAAATGAACCTCATCAGCACCGCTCTTCTCCCACTGCCCCGGGAGGCCACGCCCCAGCCTCCTCTCCCCATCTACAAACCCCACTAACCAGGAGTAAGTGGTCCCCAGGTCGATGCCGACCACCGTGCCCACGTCCTCCTTCTTGTCTTCCTCCTCGGCATTAGCCGCGCCGAGGAGCAGCAGCACCGCCGCCGCCACCAGGGACAGTTTCATTTTGCCGGCGCAGTCAGCCAGTAGCTCAGCAGACAGGCAATCAATCCAGCCACAGCCCGAGGCACGGAAAAGAACGAAGATTACCGACCTGAAGGGGGCCGAAGTCTGGGGTCAGGAGGAGCAGCTGCCGAAGCAAGGGGCAGGGTTGGGGAAAAAGGCCGCGGCGCTTACCTCTAGCACTCGCAAAACCCTCAAGTTGGTCACTCAGTGTTGTCTCGATCGGCGTCGAGCGCGCTGTCGCCGTCTCCGCTTATATACCCTCCCCCCAGCCCCGTCGTGGAGGCCGCCGATTGGTGAAGGTGCTGTTCGTTGGAGGTCGCTGATTGGCCCAGGCCACTAAGCTGGCCGCTGCCGATTCGAAGCGGCCTCCTCCGCAATTAACGTCACTACTACGTCTCCCGGATGGACTCATTGGCCACTGGTAGCGCCACTAAACACCAACGGACGACAATATCCGCCCCCTACGCGGGTGCTATTGGCTCAACAGCTGCCTGTCCTTCTCTCGACCTCTCACCCGGGACCATTTCCGCCGCTGTGGTCCCGCCTACAGGGTGGACCCTAGGGGGTGGGTGTCTGTCCGGTATGCGTGAGTCCCCTTGGGGCGGTGGTACATGGGTCCCCTTGTCCGCTGTCTTGTCTCCACTCTTCTTTCTCATCCAGAAGCCACAAAGTGTACCTCTTCGTACCCGTTTCCATCACATCTTAGACCGGCGGATCTCAGGGTGGATGCTTCAGTCTACTTAAAACAGTCCAATTCCTCTTTCTTTTCACAGCCACAACCGGGACCAGAGTGCGGATTCCCGCGGCCTTCTGTGGCTCTGGCCGCGAGTCATGGCTCCTCCCAGCTACTTGTGTTGTCCCATTCCCCCCATACCAGCTATCTTTGCCTATACCAGGCCTCTCCAAACTGTAAGTCATATGACAGACCTGGGCAAAGTAGTTGCCTCCCCACTGCGGCAGATCTCTCCAGAACAGTTTATGAAAGCCGTTATCGCTCACCCTTGGTAGATCATTTGTCTAGCTTGCCACTCCTCCCCTGCCCATCATTTTCCTTTCTGGTTCCAGTCATCATTTACAAGATTCTTGAACCCTTTTCTAGTACCTTCACACTTCATGGAAGAGCTCTGATTGTCCTGAAAGCGTTTGGCAGACAAAATTAGGCTTGATGTCTTATTCTTGTATAACTTTATACAGCAAAAATACAGGTCACTATGAAAGAATTACTATATTTCAAGTAGGAGCCATGGTGGTGCAATGATTAAAGCATCCCACTAATGAAAGGTTGGTTTGAACCCATCAGCAGCTCAGCAGGAAAAAGATGTGGCAGTCTATTCCCCTAAAGATTTACAGCCTTGGGAAATCTATGGGGGCAGTTCTGGTTTAGGTTCACTATGAATCAGAATCAAGAACACATCACAAGCATTTTTCCATGTGCTGTTTATGTATTCTTTGGTCTTTAAAATTCAATATTCGAGCATACATCGTGTAAAATGATGAAAACTTCCTAGATAATTACCAAACATCTTGAGGCAATGAGTTGCTGGGCCAGGGGACACGATAGTCAATTGACATAACATAGTCCACAAGACAATGCTCTACATCATCCTACTTGGGCAGTAGCATCTGCAAGCTCATGGGCTGTCTAAGGTGTAGCTATTGCTCTCCCCATGTGCAGAAGAAAGAAGAGTACTACTATAAAAGGCTTGGAATCAATTAGTCCAGTGGGCTGATGGAACATGTGAACATCAGTCTCCATGACTCTCATACTAGAACTAGAGGGTACCCGGCAACCACTACCAACTGTTGTGAAACGGATCACATTAGAGGGTACTGGATAGAATGGGAAAAATATGGAACAAAACTCAAAATTATTTTTTAAAACAAAGACTGGTACTGGTCAGAAAGAGACTAGAGGAAACAGACTATATGGCTCTCAATCACACTCACTCTCGTGGCCCAATTTTCAGCCAAGTAGTAGAGATATTTATAGGGGGGACAACAATACTTGTAAGGTATGCTTACATGAAATGTTCAATCATTCAAAATCAAAAGGGCAACATTTTCCTAAGGACAAAGTTGAGACGGGATGTGAAGGTGGGTGGAATGCAAATAGTACGCACAGGGAGGAAGCAGGATTAACTGTTGTTGCATGGAGGAAGGAGATTGCAATCATTGAAATAAAACAGTGTATGATTTGTTGAATATAAAGTTGATGATTTTGTCTGTAAACCTTCACTAATTCACATAAAAAAATTTTAAAAATCCGTACTTGATAGGCATTTCTCATTTTGCAGATGAAAATATTTAGAAAGTAAGAGATTAATAGCTGGCTAAAATGGCACTGTGAGTTAATGTGCTGGATGGCAAAATGGGTTTGAATCACAAGGTTGGTGGTTCAAACTCACCAACTGCACCTCATACAGGGTTGCTATGAGACAGAACCAACTTGATGGCACTTAACAACAACTAACTGTAAAGTTGAATATGGAGGATGGTGGTTTCATACAAAAAACACTAGAGTGTAAACAACAAGGTCTGTGGTTCAAACCCACCAGCTGCTTCATGGGGGAATGTAAGACTTTTTACTCCCATGAAGATTTTAAAACCTCAATTCTGTACAGGGTTGTTATGAGTTGGAAACAATCAATGGCACTTAATAGAACAATACTAAGTGGAATCTGATTGGTACTAGGTCTGTTTAGCTCCATAGCCAGCCAATGCATTGTCATTCATTCAACACATATTTTTGTAGGATCTACTTATAGGTTGGTACCTCTTGAAATGGTTGAACATTAACCATTTCCTTTTGATACAATGCTCCTGTGTATTCCTTCCATCTTCTCTTGATGCATTCTGCATCATTCAATAATTTTCCCAGAGAATCTTTTAATAACGAAAATGGAGGCTTGAATTTTTTCTTCAGTTCCCCCAGCTTGAGAAATGCTGACCGTGTTCTTCCCTTTTGGTTTTCTAGTTCCAAATCTTTGCATATTTTATTATAGTACCTGGTTTTATCTTCTCGA